ATATATATATATATATAGAGAGAGAGAGAGAGAGAGAGAGAGAGAGATAGTTACTTTGAGATATTTCCAAGTACTTTTTAAGCGTGTACAAACAATGTTTTATGTTTATTATTTGATTCCTAGCGGTATGATAATAGTTTAATGATTAATTTTATATAGCTGTGTCAGTGCCATTATTAGTATTTTTTTGCCTTTCTTTCAGCAATTAATTTTTTATTTCTTTCTTTTCTTAAAGATTCAGTTACGATTAGTCACTTTTTAAGACGCTCAATAATATTTCACTATAATTATTTCCAATGTCTATACAAATAGACGTTGTAAATCGTACTAAATTGTTAAAATACTCAATGTGTTATCTTCATCTTTTATTTACTTTTTTTTTTTTTTTTTTTTTTTTTTTTTTTTTCCCAATTGATAATAACACCAATTAAAATAAATTATTATGGTATCGAAAAGAGACATTTATTACTCATCTATTAAGCGTGGGAATATTGTTTCATTTATATGTCGAATTAATGATTCAGCAAACGATATTAGGAATGGCTTATAACATTGGTCATCTAATTACTTTATAATTTAGTAAAACTATATAATTACAATTGTGTTGGTGCTTAAAACTACGTTTTCGTGAAATCATTCCACCTAATGGTTTCGATATCTATTCTCGACAATAATCATTTTATTTGTTCTGATAAAATACAAGATATATGAAAACTGGCTTATTCATAGTATTGAGAGAAGAAGGAATAAGGACGCGATTCCCAAGCGCTTATTAAAGGAAAATTTACAAAATACCTCGACAATATCTAGAATACATAGTTTAAAGTGACGTGTTTAGACCTCTAACATTGACGTAAACTGATCATTAAGCTTTCGGCTGGGATTCCGTCCTATATACACACGTGTACTTAATTACCAATAATATTTTACATGCTATTGTGACTCGTGCATTTTAATATCCATTGTTGGCTATTAATTGTTCAAATACAGATTTCCGCTCTTGTATGATATTTTTGAAAATTTTTATTAATTTTACTACGTTGGACAGCGATCGATGTATCTTTTAAAAATATAAGCTTTCGATTAAATTAATTTGACCTTAAATAGTTGCAATTTACTTAACAACAGGTATTTAAAAATAAGAATGTATACATTAATAAACTTATTTTTTAATTAAATAGATTGTAAAAGTTTTCGTTGCCTTCCAATGGAAATGAAAAGACGAATCAAAATTGATATTCATGAACAAATCCATACGCTATGAATTAAATTATTTATTTAAAGCAATAATGTATATTTAAAACAAAGCAGCTTCTAAGTATCAATGTGATAAGTATATAAAATTGCCTTTGTCGTTAAAAGAAGAAGAAATGAGTAAGAAGCTGGTTTTTATGTAATGACTTGTTAAATAGGAAAATAATTATAATCTGGTTAGTGGCTCGGCATGCGCGCGCGCGCGCCCTCACGTACGCACACAAATTAGAATCAAGTGAAAAACAAGTGATTTGAACTGGCCGTAGAAAAGCCTTCCGTTCGGATTTGCGATTAGCCGGATCGATAGTTTTTTATCCGTTGGACGGAGAATCGGATCGGGGGCGCACGCGCAGCATGGAATAGCCGGCCAATACACGTAGATCGCGCCGAGCGCGCCTATTAACATTAGAACCCGTTCTCTCGTTTCTCTCATTTTGATTTTTTGTGTATGTTTGTCTCTCTCTCTCTCTCTCTCTCTCTCTCTTATCTATCTATCTATCTATCTATCTATCTATCTATCTATCTATCTATCTATCTATCTATCTATCTATCTATCTATCTATCTATCTATCTATCTATCTATCTATCTATCTATCTATCTATCTATCTATCTATCTATCTATCTATCTCTCTCTCTCCGCGCACGAAATCATCGTGGCAAGCCCGAGGCGGAGAAACGTGGGAGCAGCGGCGGCCGTTGTTGCCCGGTCCTCTTCGCACGTAATTGCGGCCGAAAATGCGCGCCCCTTCGTCGAGGCTTTATTCAGGCCTCGGCAAGGGGAGACAAAAATAACAGGAAAGTTGGCCCGCACAAATAAAATAATTCGGCCGCTTGCTTTTCTTTGTCATATTTCGACTGCGGGCGCAATGGCGATCGAAATTATTCTCACTTTCATCAGATATCATGAATATTAATGGATGATTTTTTTTTCTTCCCTCGATCATACATACCTCGGCCATATATTAGGATTTTGTCTAATTCGCGATCGAGTTTGAAAATTAAAGTTAAAGGAGAGGAAAATCATTGGCTTTTCGGCGACAAAATTATATTTCCACAGCGCTAATTCTAATGTCCACAAGACTTTATAAGCACTCTCGGTGAATATTGCAGCTGAAATGCACAAGTGCCATCGAAATGAATTTCTCCTTCCCTTATTATTTCCATTATCGTTATTCTTGTTGTTGTTGTCCATTTTTTTTCGTTTTTTTTTTTTTTTCAAATTATACATTATATATTTTTATATTGTTTGCCGAATGATAAATAATGTAGTCCGCAGGTTAATATGCATTTGAAAGATCGATAGTAACATATTATATATTTCTTGCAGTATTGATTGAATAATCTCGTTACAGCATATTGAGTTTTCGTTCTTAATTGATATTCGGATTTCATCGACATAGAAATTTCAAATATAAATTTACTTTAAACTATGGCTGAAAATGTTAAGAACAGCCATAATTAACAACGATAGCTGAAACAGCCCCTGACTTTTCCACTACGGCTACACAAATCTACATATTTCCTAACAATTTGAACAATAAATTAAGCTTATCATCAATTTCTATTGAAAATACCTTTGGCAAAAAGTACATAAAAATAAGCGTATAGAATTAATTTGATCTTTTTTTCTTTTTTCTTTTTTTTTTCTTTTTTTTTCTTCTTTTTTTTTTTTATAACATGCAAATACATTAATTTTAACTTCAGATAAACGTCTTTGTAATCTGCATTCTTGTTTGTTCGTTATAAGATATCAACAGTTGACATTCAGATATGAGCCAACTGAGACTTATTTTATTTATATATATATACTATGCTGAATAATTATGGAAATTTTTATGGAATCAAAACGCTTCAATTGAAGTAATTGTAAAGCAAATTATTCCGTGTTTGCGGACGTCTTTCATCTTTGTGCACACACCTCTTGTGAAAAAGCTCTCTTATCCAAAGTTCGTTGTTTTTAATTTTTTTATTGTGTTCGCAAGTAAAATAAATCTTCGCGAATATAACTGTAACGGAACCTACGCATACTACTACTACTCAGCCAAGCTATGGACGCACGTCAATCGGAATAATTCACTCGACTGTGTCGTAAGCCATTGTCGCTAATACGAAACACGGCAGAAAAAGTGTGGGTTAAAGTGTGGTTAAGAGGGGTGGGGTCAGTGGAGTGAGTAAAGCAAGCCCTTGGATCGCAATCGATCGTACGGACATTCGTTTCTGGCCCCCCCCCCCCCCCCCCCTAGCCGGCTAATCTTTCATCTTCTCTGACATATCCCGCCATCGTTCGCCGCCCACGTTATCGTATCGCTCAGCGGCTCTGCCGCCGCCGCCGTCGCCGCCGCAGCCACCGCCAGTCCGATTTATTAATACCGGCGGCGAAAGGTTCGCGGATCGGTGGCGGCCTGTTGCGCCCAGCGGTGGCGCCTGATCTATGGCCCGAGTGAGATGTTCTGAGGGGCTATTCGTTAACGATCCACTCCAAGTGGGGCCCCCCGTTAAACGACCGTTTGGTCGATCGGGCCGATCGTCGCTGAATCTCGATAATACGGTGGCAAGTACGCCCGGGCCGGATCCTTCTCGACTTCTTGAAGGTTTGGCCCGGCGCGGTCGGATCCGGGACGAGGGGATGCCGGGGGTTGCTTAGCCTTGTTTTTTGGCGCTTCGAGTGCATGTATATTTTTTTCGCTCTCTCCTCACCCTATCCCTCCCGCCACCACCGCCCGATATTGCATTATTAATCGCCAGCGCGCACAGTAGTAGTATCTTCTCGTTACGACGAGACGAGCGCTGAAGGGGGAAGGGGAAGGGGTAAGGGGGAAGGGGGATGGGGGATGGGGGGGGGCGAATGCGACGATGATGAAACGATATCGAGCTTCGGCATGTGTACGCGTACGAATAAAGTATAATTAATTCCAAAATTCTTATTGTGGTTTTGATAAATCCGTGATTTATGTGTCTAGAGCTACGGTTGCTCAATTGGCCGAGACTTGAACTTGGATTGCCT